TTTTCATATTTCTTAGACTTAAAGTTCCATGTTGTTTATGGTGTAGTTCGTTGTCTGTATCGATTTCTCTTAGATTATCTCTACCTAATAAAAATAAATATTGGATCGACCACTGTAAAGTACCTATGTTATGAAAATCGTGTAGATGGTAACCAAAATTTGTCTAACGGTCGCCAGTGCCATTTCTCGATAGTACATGTTATTTAAATTTTATACCACATATTTCTGCACCTTGAACATCCAGATTTTTGGGAAAAAAATCAAAATTGTATAATAACGTGTTACAATTTAACTTGAGTTTGTGAAAACGAATGCTTTGAAATCTTACAAACGTTTTAAGGTTATCAGAAGCATGTTTTTGCTTTTTGGAAAGAAGAAATAAAACATTTTTCGTTATACATAATATATTGAATGCATTATTTGGGGTTGACTTTAGATATAAAATTTTACTAGGAACTAGTATTATATAGAATTAGTATTATTAACAAAGGTCAAAATTTGTTTCATAGTTGATAGTATTTAATTTTATGTTAACTGTACTGTTTCTCCTTCATTAAGTAATCTATATGCTGCCCCTAATTTTATAATAACGACGTACACTATCACTATCCAACATGTCTTCGATGAAAGGGTATAATTCGGTGGTATACTTTAACAGTATAGGAATGATAAATAACAACATTAACAACATTTATTTCTGTAGTGATTAATTTTATTACTTTTCACGAAAAAATATTTTATTGCAACATATTTATTAAAAACGATTTTATTTCAGTTTTAATTATATAAACAACTTGCTGGTGGGTTTAGTTACAAATGCAAAAAACATTAAATATTAAAAAAACCTCAATTCGCATGAATACAGTTTTATTGCTAGATATAAACTCGCTGTTATTTATTTAAGTTATAGATTTTTAGTATAAATTAAAATGTCAAATTTTCTAATATTTTTGAAAAGCGATAGTTGAGTTTTATATAATTAAGGAAAATTAACACAACGTAATCTAAATTTGAGGAAGACGTACTTATCGTGCTGACCACTAACCAGCGTATATTTGGATTTTATCTTACCATACGTAAATAGTATAGTATGATATGAGTATGCCAAAAACACCGTGTTATAATTGCCACGCTGTGGTTTTTTTCTTTCACTTTATCTTTGTTATGTTATATGTAGATACATAAAGTAGTACACATTATTATTATTGCATATGTTGACAGAAGTAGTTTAGTGGTTACAATTTTTTTTCTGTTATTTAGTTATTCTTTATTTTGTATTAAACACTCATCGCTTTTTATCTCTAACACGTCAGTAATCAAATCTTACTCATCCAGTACTTTTTACTAATCAGATATTAAAGTATTTTACTAGAAAAAAATATTGTTCTATAAATATATAAATGCTTCTTACGCATTTACATACCGAAGAAAGGTAGAATATACTTTTGAATATTTTTTTCAATGAAGATGTCCAAACTTGATAAAATGGGTATACATAATTATTAATTTGATGAGTACTTCCTGAAATTTTGTATAAAATGTGTCGTTTAAAAAAAAACTGAATGGTAAATAGCCACTGATGTGATCAGTATTATAATGCTGAGCACATGTTACTAGTGTCATCACTGACTCACTTGGTTATGAAAAAATTGAGATGCTTAAAAGTTACAACGGCTACTTTTGTTAGATTTTTAACCTTAATCTTAAAAAAACTATGAACGCAAAAACAAATGAACCTTTAAAAATCTGAAATTGGTGAAAATTCCCTGCGAGGGTCGATACGCTATCACCTTCATGTGAACCGAGCTGACTCCTACACCAACTGTGTGATGAGTTGATGATCTTACAATTGAAATGATTGTCATCAAACATAGCTAACAACCATTCCGATTGAATCAACTCTCAAACAAAAAAAAAGTATTGAAATCGGTTCACCCGTTTGGGTGCTACGATGCCAAAGCATACAAGTAGGCAGCCAGACAACCGCTTCAAATTTAAGACAGACGAAGGCTTCAGTAAGTTTTTGTACTTTAAACGGAAGAACGTACTCTCATTTATTAGAAACTGTTTCATTGATTCAAACATTCTACCGGGCGTATACGAGTTGCGCCATCTACCTGCTAGTTTCGTCATGGGGGATTAGGAATTTAAGTAGAAGTTTTTTTTTCCGCTAATTGGGCTAATTACTACCCTTTTAATTCGAACATTAATGGCCGCTGCATACCATTCCTAAATTCCTCCTCCTACCTGTTTTAATCCCAACAGTACTATAAAATGTTCAAAAATGGTGAAGTTTGAAATTAGTCAATTTTAGCCATCAGTGACAAAGTTCATTATGGAAGTGCTTCCAGTTTTGAGTGCTAAATCAAAAAGTTTGCTTGTTGTTAAACTATTTTAAATTTCGAAAAGCCAGTATTAATTTAATAACAAATAGGGGAGAACAATTTCAATTAATTAATGATAATATCAGTGGTTTGCTCGTATCTTCATCTAAATCAAATTTAGAATTTTTTATTTTTATGTGGTGCAGATTACATATACAAGTACATATGTATGTGGCTGAAAATTTCCAGTTCTGCACAAACTTCTTTTCTCAATTTTTTACAAGTCATGCCTGTAAAAATGGTCATTACGTTCAGTTAATGTTTTGTTTACCACTAAATGAAACGGTAGGACCATATGCCAGACTATTACAATTTCTTCAAAAAGAGTTGCAAGAATTTCAATTACCTTTTCAGCCAAGTAATGTTGTCATTGATTTTGAAGTTCCAATTCATACTGCAATCAACACAGCAGTAATGTTATAGGCTCTAGGTTTCACCTTTGTCAATCATTTGCAGAAATGTTACTTAAATAATTGTCAAACAATAACATATCTTAAAATGACCACAGCAAAAAATCACAACAAAATTCTCAGGAAAGATGTAAGAGCTCGGCAAGATTATATTGAGGAAAAAATAACAAGATAAAAATTAGGACAAATAAGTAGAATTGAATTTGATAAGTCTGTAGCTTATAGGTATATTCCAAAATCTGTAAAATAAAAATAAATATGTTTTACTCATTATCTAATTAATTACTTATTTAATCCTACCGTAACTGTTATGGTACCTGCCCGTTAGTCCTACCCGAACCAAAGTTGGCGGAATTCGAAATGCTGCACCCCCACCGTGTTGGCGCAGTTCGCTAGCTTCGATTCTGCCGTTCAACATCTTGTGAATTGTGAGCGTAAAACTTAGAGGTCTTTATGCGATGGTTATTAGAAATTTAAAATGATATTTACAGTAGAAAAATACCTGAAGAATAAGAATTAATATTACGTGTTTTTATAGACGTTAAAATGCTGTTTACTTATCGTTTTCTTTTTTTCTTTGTTGTAATTTATCTTACTATATATGTACAGAAGTGTATATCTGTATGCTAAAGAAAGGTATTGTTATTTACGTGGTAAAGTCTCACTTTGCTGCAGTTTATGAAAGTTTTAAGAAATAAAACAAACTGCCCACATTTCATGTTATGCTTTGTAAAGTTTTAATTGTAATGACGTCCCTTTTGTTTCATTTCTAAACAGCACTTTGAAACGCTGATTCATAAGATGTATGAATGTACATACATGTAACATCCCTAACTTTAGTGTGCTTCATATATTCATTATATTTTTATATTTATATATTTTATAGGCATAACATTCTCCTGATATTTTTACTTTTAGGTAACCTACGAATGTTACGATGATCGGTACTTTAAATCGGCGTGGGTAAAACTCAACAATTTATTTCTCAATTAATACAAATTTATACGACTAACTATACAGCGAATAATTCTGACTCCTACTTATTAATCGACACAACTGGATTTTATTACAGTGGCCTGCTCCCGACGGTAGTCCCTATTTAAACTCATACGTTTCTTCTGGAAGATCGCAATCGCCAGTTTCAAGGTTGATCTGGACTCCACTATCGAGACTTCCCCAGACTTCCGGCAAACCGCTTCGAGACTTTTCTTTAGTCGAACACCACTACGAATATACTAGAAAACAGAATATGTGGGATGTCGTTTAAAATTTAAAAAATAATTTTCGAAAAAACTTAATGATTTATGTAAACAATTGTTGACCGTATGTAACCGACGCGAAGATCTTGTATGATGTGTATGTTTTTTGCGTTTTTCGATGGTTTATAGTGTAAACGGCATCAGCAAAGTTTATCTCTAATGAATCTGAAAGCTAATGGGTGTAATGCGTCCACAAATAAATACATTAATTAATTAATTTTCGACGTTTACAAACACAACCCAAGAGTCGCATGGATCATCATCATTATCGTAGAAGCGTAGACAGGAAAAAATTGGTTTCTCGGCATATTTCGACATAATAAAGAAATTATTCCCAAATTTATAACCACACTTAAAATTGTTTTTACATATTTTAGCGTTTAAAACAAATTTGTTAGAAAAAAATAGCAAATATTTATGACACACATAGGACATATTGCATGAATAATTTTTTTCTGCTCATTGCTGAAATTATTGTACCACATTTTGGTCGCGCTTTTAGCTATAAAATGTTGTGAGTTTTAAACAAACTTTGCAACGAATAAAATTTAAAACTTGAATAAATATCGGAGTGTGTATTTGCGAGTTTACGTTTTTAAATTGATATTCTCAAGAATTATTTACTTTGAGTTCATTAATAAATGTAAATATAGCATGTCCTGGCATCGTTTATTTTGAAAGGATGATGTTCATGTCATCTCATGATTTGATAATATAAAAAGGGTTTGCAGAGATAGATTACCCTTAATTAAAAGAGCACTTCAGACAGATTGCGGCCGCTTTGGTGTGTTTATTAAGGGTAAATGGTATGGAGTGTTCCTAGTATTGTAATAAATATGAATAAAAATAATAATTTACATCCTTTATAATTATTAACTATGACATCTGTATCTAAGAGTGTAGTTGGTTTTTAATTCTATCATTAATGAAATCCATTTCTTTTACAGAAAAAATTCCCGATGACCCAAAAATCACCTACGTATCTCAAGACTCTCGAGTACGTTTGGGACAAAACCTCAGACTGTTCTGCGAAGCATTTGCCGGTAAGTAACCGCAAATTATCGTATAATTGGTTGGAATATTTTAAACTATTGATGTTACACGATCGATAGCTTCTCGAAATTATTGATGCGTAATTACCAGGAATATCGGTACAAATGATTAATCACGAATTTCTGAATTTCAATTGAACCAAATCCATGGAATCATCATTTTTCACGGTTCCCGTTTGCTAATTAGCTTAGCGATGTATGAGAAATCAGTAACAAAACGTATTCATACTGTGTATCTCGGAAACCATCACAATGGATGCTTGCAGATTAAAAATTATACCGGACTTAATGATAATGTGTAATATAATTCAGAAAAAAGCTGCTGAATACCCATACAGACGGAATTTTATTCTGCTTACGTTCTCTAAAGAGATTCTTTCCATTTAATCTAAAACTCATTGTTACTATTGATGAGAAATGCATGATTGAATTTTTTTACAGGACGAGTGGATCTACCAGATGCACACAATGAGGTAGTGTGGCGCAAGTCAGGACATAATGGTACTCTTGATGATGAACCTCGGGTGCGACAGGAAAAAATTTCCAGGTAATTTCATCTTTTTGTATTAGCAGAAAATGCATACAGTATGAACTGATCCGTTACTACGGTTCTCGATATCGGGAAAATTAATTAACGTTGTTCTTAGAATATTGATTCTGGGTAAAGATAATTTTGCTCGGTAATTACACAACTTCGAGAAAGTATTTTTTATACGAAATGTTTTATGTTCTTTCTCCTTTTGAATTAGTTATACAGAGTTCAAATTATGGGTTAAAAGTAATATTTCACGGTGTGCGGTCTATTATTTTTCTAATTAACAACAAGGATTGAGAATTAAGTTGTAGGACAGACATTTATTAATTTATTACAATCAAGCTATCAATGCATTCCAAGTTGTGCGAAGGGCTGTCTTCAACTTTTATGTACAGCGTGATCCGGATTTATTTCAGTTTTTGATTAAATTTTAATTACATATAGTAAATACTTTTAAATGTGTAACTTTCAAATAAAAAAAAATAAATAGTTTTGATACTCACTGCAATTTTTATTGGAAAGATTTTTTATTGTTAACAGTAACACTGTATCGACGCAACACTGATAGCAACGTAATTATAAGTATGTTTAAAAAATTCCAGCAAAATTAGTTAAACGGTTTCTAGAATAATCAATATTATCAGTGACGTTTCAATTTTTTTGAGGCATTTGTGGTATCCTCAGTAGACAAACCGAAAAATGAGGTTGACATTTTCGATTCCTCTAGGTTGTTAAAATGATCATTTTACACAAATTCTCATAGCTTACGCTCAACAATTAAACAATATCAGGAGTTTTTGTGGGCTTTTGTACATACATTTTGCAAAAGCCGAAAGAATTATTTTTGTGTAACTTAAAAAATAAAATATTTGAGTTTTATTCTGTTTCGCTTAGCCATCCTTCTGATAGCGAAATAATGTTCTTACCTAGTGAAATTTTTATGTACACTACGGAACCACTGAGCGTACGCTCATTACTAGAAATAGAAAAAAAAATTAGAACCAAAGTTGTACGACTTTTAAGGACCGTGAGTTTTTTCGAATGAGTGCCCTATATATTTTTACGTATTTTCATTGACCTCTTCTGAGATTTCATAACCACAGTTTGTTTTTGAAATTCCGATGCGACGTTGCCACGTTATTCTAATTGTCCTGAATTTCTTTAGCAATGGAAGGGTTCATTAAAAAAAATCACAATAGGGTTATTTTACAATATTTTATGGGGAGATAAATAAAGATACGCGCTTTGTTGTAGTTTAAATAAAATTGAGTTTCAATATACGCAAATACACTCCCCCCAAAAATTATCGCACCACCTCCAGTTTTAGCGAACCGGACTACATGTGGTTACCATATACATAGTAGTGATAAATGTGTGCAAGTTAATGCCAAAAAATGACAATATTTAAAAAATATACATATTCTGGGCCCGATTTGGAGACTGTCTTAATGTAGGTACATAAGTTTATAAGCGTTAATTAAATTAATATCGTGTATTTCCAACCCTGGCTTGAATAACGGCTTCCATCCGTCGCTGCATCTCTTCGTAAAAGTGCACAATATTGTCTTGAGGTATATTTTCCCATTCTTCCATAAGAACTGCTTCTAGCTGTTGGAGAGTTCTAAAAGCAATTCTACGGCCCGCAACACGACATTGCAGATCATCCCACACATGTTTGATGGGATTCATATCAGGGCTTCGAGCTGGCTGTTCCATAACAGGCGTATCTGTTTCTCTGAAATAAGCTTGTACAACGCGCGCTATGTGCGGCCGAGCATTATCATGCATATAAACAAAATTTGGACCAATAAATGGTCCGTATGGAATGACATGTGGTTCCAAAATGTCTGTTATGTAACGTACAGCCACCAAACGAGCTCCAGGTAATGGTACTAAATCTGTACGACCTTGCAAAGATATGCCAGCTCAAACCATAATGGAACCTCCACCGAACTGTACACTTGGTTAAAGTTACATTGAAAATACCGCACCCCAGGCCTTCTATACACCGGTATTCGTCTGTAATTTGAGCAAAGAGAGAATCTAGACTCATCAGGGAACATCACATTTTCCCAATCTTCAATTCCCCAATTCACATGCTCCCTTGTGAATTCTAGCCGGGCTACTCGGTGAGCTCTGGTGAGTAATAGTCCTTTTGCAGGAACACGAGCTAGAAGATTATCTTCGCGAAGACGATTTCTTACTGTCTCTACAGAAATATCCACATCTCGAGCACCAAACAACTCGATTTGAAGTAATCGATCAGTGCAATGCCTCGTACGGAGCGCTGTTAAGTGCAAAAAGCGATCATCCCATGGCGAAGTCACCCTTCGACGACCTTGTCCTGGTCTTCTGGCAACACTTCCTGTTTCATGGTATCTTCGTGCAAGTCTAACTATTGTGGAATGATTAACTCCTAAAACTCTTGCTACGTATCGTTGACTACGACCATCTTCCAACAGAGTCAATGCTCGTACAACTTCGTTGTGGCTCAAATGCAAGGTTAAGCGTTGAGGGACCTCCATAATGTCGAATATGTATGACAGTAGCGCTAGATGTCTACATAAATCCTTTGCAAATCAAAAGCACGAAATTCGTATATGTGCATATTTATCCGAAGAACTAGAAACCATCGTTTTAATCCTCGTATTGGTTTTTGTTCTGGCAAATAAATAAATAAAAATATGTTTGGATATGATTTGGCCCCATATGTGTCTTCTACAAATTTTCAAATTGGAAATAACCAAAATTTTGAGGGTGGTGCGATAATTTTTGGGGGGAGTGTATATTAATTAAAATTTTCAAGTATCGATATTTCAGTTTTTCAAATATAACATCCTGTATTTTAATATTACATCTTATTCAGTTTTCTATTCTTTCTGTTTTGTAAGTACTTTCTGTATTTAAAGTTTAAGGTTTTTCACTTTTATAAGAGACGCACCAACATATTGTAAGAAAAAGAACAAAAAATAAAGTAAGATGTAGTAATAAAACGTAAGATGTCCTATTTGAAAAAACTGAAATATTGATGGTTGAAAATTGTATCGTTTTTGAGATTATGAAATCAGCTGTATGTACACATACTTTGAAAATAGAATACCTTTTAATGATATCTCTTATCGCTTATTTTTATGTTATAAAAAATGATACACATTCCTATGTAACATCTTTTTTAAGAATGAAAAACTTCTTAGATTTACTGTTATCATTCGTAAATATTGTAGGTATTTTTATTACTTTCATTTAAGTTTATGTTATACTAAATTGTAAAAAGTGAATTAAGATTTAAATAAGTAATTTGTATGTACAGTCACGGCCAGAAAATCTTGGACCTTGCTTTATTGTCACTTTGATATTTGAAGTTTAAAAGATTTGTCACGTCGCATCCAGTGTTAGCATGCCTGCAGCGTCAAAAATGACAAAACTAAAAAAATAAGGTTACAATACTTAAAGGTGTTTCATATTTTGTGAATGACACAGACGTCCAAAATTTTCTGACCGCGACTGTACATTTGTGAATTTAAATAGCAGTCTTACATCTGAACACACATTAAAAATGTTTTCTTTTTCTGTTTCCTTTACAGATTTTTTGTAGTAGAAATTATTTTGTAATTAGTGCGAAAAAGTCATCGTTCATATTTACCGCGAAATTGGAAATTGAATGTTAAAATACATGTTGAAAAAGGTCCACTATTATTACAGGAGTTCAAGTTTGTTAAAAGAACCGCTTGTGGCGAGTTTTTACAAAGATGAGTGTGACAATGACCTTATAAAACAAGTTTTTTTTATACAATTTTTCTTTTGAAAAAACATCAAAATAAAGTTAGTTATTTTGACACCCTTAGTTGGCAGCCATGCAAGTTACTGTCGAATGTTGGTTGGTACACGCAGTTCTGACAAATGTCAGGTTTTATGTAAAATTAAAAAGAAATAAGATTTGTGTTCTCGTTCTTCCCACCTCGTTCTGAGCAGGCTTGCACATTAATTAAATCAGCTTTCAAAGGAAATGTAAATTTACGATACACATTTGGTCATCGTAATAAATCTTATTAGGTGCAGAAAGCACGCACAAATAACATGGAAATCTTTCTTCGGTGACAACTGACAAATAAATGCCAATTACCTGTCAAATTTGAATACTGCCACATTATCAAGTCAGGAATACAACCCACAAACCAATGCCTTAAGAGAGTTTATTAAAGAAAGCATTGTTTTCAGTCTAAAACGGTGCTTTATTTAATGTTGCTCTAAAAACACTCAATAAGAAAAAAAAATACCACAACTTGTGCAACCGCTTCTAACTGAAAAGAAATTAATAAGAAATCATTTAATATTTACTTATACATTTATAAAATCATTTTAAACAATTTAGTTAGAATTTAAACCTATCAAATTTTGACTGATTTAATAGCCTTCGCGTACTCAATACACTGACCAATTTACTGAAATTAACTGAGACTATAGTTAGAATTTTTTCATAATGTGGCGTTTATAGTTTTCAAATACATAGTACTGTATAATTGATTTTTATAAAAACTAAGTTTGGGCGTCGATGAAGGATACTAAATAAATTACAACAATATAGCAAATGTACGTACAATTAATTGACTCTCATGGTGTAAACTACCGAAACATCACCATGTGAAAATAAATCTAATTGTGAAAGTTTTTAAATAAATTTTGTAGCTTTAGCATAAAAAACTTGTCTTACAGTCTGCGTAAAATTCTCATCAGTTTTTATGAATGTGAACTTTTTCATTTTCGCAAGAAGTAATTTACATTTTTGCATGCTTTGTTTCCTGTCTGCTAAATTAAAACTGTTAAATTTTCTAATCATTTCCGTTCTTCTCTTGTCTTATTTGAATTAATTTGACATCTACATTTACATTTACAAGATGAGTTTTAATGTCAGATCGTTATCACACCGTTATTGCATCTCAAATGGAATCATCTCTTAACGAGTTTTACAATACAGGTTCAATTGTTGTACGTCGCAGTAATTATCTGTCAAC